ACCAGGAGTGCCACATTTGGCCCGTGGGCCTTGTGTTTGACACGTGTCTTAGATGATTGCTGTATTCAAACATAACTATCTAGTTCAGGCAAATTTAGGCACCTTTTAGAAAAGTTTGCTATACATAAAACTTAAAATTTTTTAACTTGAGAAAAATATGTTTGTAAATGTGATCACTTTAAAGAGGATCTTCAGTCTTTCAGTCCTGGAGAAATTTTCACTGCTGCAAAGCCTAGTAATCTTCCTACTGCCAAACTTAAAGCTGCGATTGTTAATAGCTCCAAGTCTTTTGTGAAGCTGCAGTAAGCAAGGACCTGACAGAGAACCACCTCCTCCTCCATTCTCCATCTCCTCCTCCTCCTTCATTAGGAAAAGTTGTTTTATGGTGTACATTGTATGTAACATGACCTATGAATGGGGGAGAGAATCCTTTGATTTTTATTTATTTATATTATATTTTTATTTATATAATATTAGTGTTTCATTTTTTGTAGCAACAGATGTTGTACAACTATAATCTTGAAAATGACCAATATTCAATTTTATGGGTATAATTTTACTTATGTCATTATTATTCCTATACTTGATTTATATAGTGCTAACAGTTTACGCAGTGCTTTACAACATAAGGGCAGACAGTACAATTACAATACAATTTAATACAGAAATCAGAGGGCCATGCTTGTTAGAGCCTACAGTTTAAGAGGGATATGCACATACAAGCAGTAAATGGCATGTTTCTGCAGAGATACTTTTAACCCCAAGCAGTCCTACATCCACAGTTTCTCTGCTGGACTCTTGTGTCCAAAGTTGACCAGAAAGTAAAAAAAGCAAGCAGAAATATTAAACCTATCTTAGAACTCTTGTGCTCACTTAAACAAAGGCCAGTGGGCCAGTGGGTGCCCCTTGGACAGTGTGGCCTTAAAGATTAGACAGATTTCTGAGATCTTTTCATTTATAACAATGCCACTTGCATCTTGTTAAACACTTCCATTTTACAGCTTGGGAGTGCTGCTGAATGTTCTCTAGGCTGAACAGTCCAGTAACCTGGGTGGAAGGAGCAGTGGAAACATTGCTTATAGAAATCATTGAGGTGTTTGGTTTTGTTTTCAGTCCTGCACTAGGAAAATGGCAGACACAGCCTACCTGGTTGCAAATTACAGGGGTTAGACAAAAAAAATGGAAACCCTGCCCGTGAAGACCGAGATTGAGCTCTGCAATCACTTTAGCAGCAGTTGTTTTCTTATTCTGGGTCACAATCCTACGCAATGTCCTTTTATCTCTTTTGGGTCAGTTGACCATGAAGCTTATGCTTATCAGACCACGTTTTCCTGGAAACTGTATATTCCCTCATAACCTTTGATACTATACCTCAAGACACGCCAATTAAATTGGCAACGTCAAGCACAGAGGCACCAGCTAAGTAGGCATCAACAATTTGCCCTCTTTGAAGCTCAGTACGCTCTGATACAACTTTGTATTACTAGCAGTACACACCATGATTGACAAAATTGATGCTTCCCACCTGTTAGCTAGGTGTCTCATCACACAGCGGAAGCAAAAGAATGTTACATCACTTCCTCGTTCAACGCGAAACATGTCATAACTTTCACACCTGCAAATCATGCAGCATTTTCATTTTTTTTTTGTCCACCCCTGTATACTAATACAAATTAGTTTTCAGAAATAACCATAGCTAATCCTTCTTTTTTGGTTGTTTTTAATGAAGTCACATGCAACTCCTTAATCACTGAAGTAAAGCCGGGTATACATGTATGGAAAGTCAGCTGGGTTTGGGAGGAACCGGACGACCTTTAGTATGTGTGCTCTTCTCTGTTCAACAGAAGCTGGTCTAACAACTGGCTTCTGGCCAACGGTCACTTTTCTAGCGCTTGTAGCCAATGATTCCATATCCTGTCAGAAATACAGTAGCACAATAGGAGAGATCCTTGCATCAACATCGCTTGTGTTGATGTAGGGATCTGTCAGTTTTTTTTCCACCTGCAGGTTATAAATACATAGCGTAAAGAGGGACTGCACTCTCTCAATCAACATTCATTGTAAATAGATAGGACAGTGTATTATAGTTGCTTGTATTAAACATTTTTTCACATGTCTTCAGTTACTCCCTGGTTTCCAGGCTTGGCAAATGATGTCATAGATCCCTGGAGTCTTTAGCAGGGGAGGAGGGGTTTTCTGAGCTAAGCACACCCTCCTGCATGTATGCCTGCGCTAAAGGCAAATGGATTCCAGGAAGTAAATGCTACATGAATCATCTGCCCTTACTTCAGATGGCCACAGCCAGAAATGCTAGGGGGTGTTTTTCTAAGTGATGTATCCACAAAATAAAGCTCGGAGACATGGATGGATGAGGGGGGTTGGTTTGAATAATAAAAATTAATTAAATAGCATTTTTGGTTTGTGGTGCTCAGATACAGTGTATTCCTACGACAAGTGAAATTTTTGTCCACATTTATTGTATTTTATAGCTAATGAGGGATTACAACCTCTGATCTGGATTCCTATTGGGGCTGCCTCCCTTCACTTCTGACCCAGAGATAGTAGTCAGCTGGGCAGGAATCGAGGACACAGATAAAATACGCAGAGGTTCTCATCCATTCAAATCCATTCACATTTGACTACCAATTTGATTTTGTTTTTTTTTGATGTACCCCATTCTGCATGCATTAACTTTTTGTTTAACGCTTTGAGATGTGTTATTTCCTTACAGTCAAATAATCTGCTGTTGTTATTACCAGGTTTCCTGCTGTGTCCCCCAGATCTGTGCAGGAAGAATCCTCACAACAGTTGTCTACTGCAAAACAAGACATACTTGAAAAGGTACCGTAACTTCTGCTTCATAAAGATGTATATTAATACACTTCTCTACTCTAGTGTATTATTGATTATGTCCTCAAGAAAGTTTTGTTTGGTCACATAAGACTTCATACAGCATGTGATCTCCATACTAGTTGAGAGTATCTGTGGAATATAAGCTACTTCTCTGGCAGAGTCTAGCATGTTGTCATCCATATCTTCTTTTTATGTAAGCATTATTAAACATTAATCAATTTGCAGATCTTTGTTTGGAGGCCTGCCTCATGCCGAGCTTGTGTACCATAATAATTCAGGAATGGGAGGTTGTAAGAATCTGAAACTTCCCTCTTAAATTTTAATTGCACAGCCTTACCTTCCAAGAATAGCTGTATGTTCTGTAAGTCATAAGCATTTGATTTATGTGGGAGGCAAAATAGGATTTTTTTTTACAGAAAAACAGGAATTTCAAGATTTTCTCTTTTGGGAGTTTAAACATCCTGGTGACACCCCCTTTAAAGTGTTACTAAATCCACACCAGTAAAATCAGTCTGTATATGCAGTAAAGCATGCTTATTATACTCACTGTGGAACCTAAGGGGTTAATCCTCCACATTGTGTAAAAAGACTGTTTGACCCTGTCTTCTCTGATCCTCCCCTTCTTTTGCTGTCCCCAATCCATCTGCCATAGTACAGAGCAGCAGTGGCAAGTCTGCACATGCTCTGTTTGGTGTATTGCTAGAGAGGTTTTTTTTTTTTCTAGGAGTGTGCTTGTGATCAGCACAGGGCCAATCAACGTTGTCCAGACAGAGGGTCAGGGGTCATGCAGCCTCATAGAACAGTCAGAGGAGAATGAGAACTCCTCCTACAAGATTAACCAATGCTCAGCTAGACACTGATAGAAGTCACAAGACTGCTCTTAACTGCTGATGGAAAAGGGTATTTTGCAGTTTATGTTTACTAAAAATAATTGCATTTCCATGTTCTGTGTACTGTGGAAGACCAGAGAGTAAATGCAAGGTCCTGGGTTTAGTAACACTTTAAAGAAAATGTAAATCCAACATTTCTTAGTGCTGCACCATGTACTTGTATGAAAAAATATCCTATTCTGTGATATTGCTTCTTTTGTGTAAAATCCCTGGTGTTCCTGCCAGTCTCTCCTGCTTTCTTATTAAAAACTGATTACACTAGCTATGTTGGGAACTCGATCTGCTCTCTTTCAATGATCAGACTGTTCCTGACCCCCCCCCCCCACAGCCATTCACTGGGAAGATCAGTCTACTGCTGTTTTTCCTTCCCCAGTTTTTATGCAGCTGAGAATAAAGGGAATGTTCCCAAAAAAGAGGGGAAAAAAGTATTTATAATGCTTTTTTTTATCTACACATATGTTTTGCCTTTCATTTCGATTTTAAACTGAATGGGTTGTTTTCACTTTAATGAAAAAAATCTTTCAAGAAAAGGGGGATCAACACACTCTGTATCCAGATTGTGCAGGGCATACACAGCAATATTGTGACGTGAAATAACAGTTAGTAATCGATCACTTTTAGCTTTTGTGACTAAGGAACTCAGAGTGCAGTTTACCATCTGCTACTATATATAAATATAATGTCTTTATGAATAAGTTAGACCCCCATAGTGTAATAGTGCCATCTACTGTATTTCTCATTTGCAAAAAAAGTGGCTGATTGTTGTAGTTCATTTAATCTAGCAAGTTCAGTGTAGAGTAGATTGTAGAAATCCCAGTTACTGTTTACCTTTACCAAGAGCTTTTAAACGTTCTTGGATGAGTTTCAAAATAAGGTATAGCAATGCAGGTAATACAACTATACCACGCACGCACGCACGCACGCACGCACGCACGCACGCACGCACGCACGCACGCACGCACGCACACACACACACACACACACACACACACACACACACACACACACACACACACACACACACACACTGTTTGCCCCCTCACAAAGAAATGATCAGTCTAAAAATCGAATGGTAGGTGTATTGTAACACTGAGAGACAGAATAGCAACAACAAAGTCAAAAGAAATGCATGTCTAACAAATGATGCACTGATATACATATACACTATATTGCCATACGTTTTGGTACACCCCTCCATATCATTGGATTCAGGTGTTCCAATCCCCTCCATGGCCACTGGTGCATGAAATCAAGCACCTAGGCATGCAGACTGCTTCTACAAACATTTGTGAAAGAATGGGTCGCTCTCAGGAGCTCAGTGAATTCAAGCGTGGTACCATGATAGGTTGCCACCTGTGCAATAAGTCCATCTGTGAAATTTCCTTGCTACTAAATATTCCATGAATCAATCAATAGTACCTCCACACACTTTACTAACTGATGAATGCTTACTCCCAAAACCCCTTAAAAAAAAGTAATACTTTCACCCTTGAAAGTTAAATCAATATAACCAACCTTCTCTTTTGCATATATAAATCACTCTCATCCCAATACCAACAAAATCAAAATTTAAATCATCACACATAAATAAAAAACAAAATAAATAAATCAAATCAAATAAATGTCCCAAAAATTGTGTCCAAAATATATCCTCTGATAAAGTGTCTTTCCAAAGTCCAATCAAATTCAAAATGTCACTCTTTCATGATCCAGTGTGGAATTCCAATTGTCTTATCATTCTCCGTAAACCTCAAACAAATAAACTTATAATAGTGTATTACCTTCTATAAAATTAAATCTCTGCAAATAAAGGTACACCAAACTTCATAAACACAGGTGTGAGCAAACAAGTGTATCATGTAAACAGCATATCGTGTCCACTCTAATCACACGTGAATACCACAAAAAAAAAAAAAAAAAAAATATATATATATATATAAATACACGTGTGTGTGTGTGTGTGTGTATATATATATATATATATATATATATATATATATATCCACCCAATCAATAATAGTGAACACTCCAACTCAAATGGTGAATAATCCATGATCACCTCCAACTAGTGCAAATGGATAATTACCCTTAGGAAGTAATGACAGGCTTTGCAGGATATCCTTAGTCAGTAAGTAGTATCACTCTCCGGCTTACTGACACTCCTGTGGTCACTCTTCCATACTCCTCATAAGGGTAAAATAGGAGACTTAAGCGGTATATATATATCAAAGGTATAAAACATTTTATTTAGAATCTTACATTAAAATTTGAAGAAATCAGCCAGTTGAAATTCACTGAACAACAGTGCGTAGAGAGCTTAATGGAATGGGTTTCCATGACCGAGCAGCTGCATCCAAGCCTTACATCACCAAGTGTAATGCTTCGGATGGGATGGGTTCTCTGGAGTGACGAATGACGCTCCTCTGGCAATCCGATGGACTTGTCTGGGTTTGGCGGTTGCCAGAGGAATGTTCCTTGCCTGACTGCATTGTGCCAAGTGTAAAGTTTGGTGGAGGAGGGATTATGGTGTGGGGTTGTTTTTCAGGACATGGGATTGACCCTTTAGTTCCAGTGAAGGGAACTCTTAAGGGATCAGCATACTAAGACATTTTGGAAAATTTCATGCTCCTAACTTTGTTGGAACAGTTTGGGGATGTCCCCTTCCTGTTCCAGCATGACTACGCACCAGTGCACAAAGCAAAGTCCATAAAGACATGGATGAACGAGTTTGGGGTGGAGGAACTTAACTGGCCTGCAGAGTCCTGACCTCAACCTGATAGAACACCTTTGGGATGAATTAGAGCATAGACTGTGAGTCAGGCCATCTCGTCCAATATCCGTGCCTGACCTTACAAATGCATTTCTGGAAGAATGGTCAAACATTCCCATAGACACATTTCTAAACCTTGTGGACAGCCTTCCCAGAGGAGTTGAAACTTATCGCTGCAAAGGGTGGGCCAACTCAATATTGAATCCTATGGATTAAGACTGGGATGCCATTAAGGTTCATGTGCGTGTAAAGGCAGACATCCCAATACTTTTGGCAATAGTGTGTGTGTGTGCGTACATATATATATAAATAATGCTAGAATAATTAATGGATTTTTGTCATATTGGACAACTGTATGTCCGGGTGGGAGAAGGCCTATGTGAAAACTTGCTAAACATTTCTAGTTGCAGTCATTTTGTACTTTGAAAGCTATATTTTTATAAAAAAAAAACGTCGAGGTTGATTTCACTTTTTTTTTTTTTTTTTTTTTTTTTCCAAGGAAGTTTCAGTCAGACGTAATTATTTATAAATCATCTTAAGGATTTTTGGAATACCTCAGCTTAACTGGGAATTTAAATTTAATTTATTTGTCAAAATTTGACAAAGGTAAAAAAATAATCCCACAATTTATTTTGCTTGTAAATGGATTAAATTTTTTTTGTTTTATTTCATGGACAATTTCCACCATCTCCTAACAAATTTATCCATTGTTTTAAGTAGAGGGAAGTGTGAAGATAGCTCTTTTTTTTTTCTTTCTTTTTTCTTTTTATCTCCTGCATCTTGGCGTTTTTTTTAAATACTATTTTGACATTTTTTAAGTGAATCTTTCTACTTTTTTTTTTTTTTTTTATGCATCATTTTGACATCACAACTTCCCAAGCCATAGGTGTTCTTTTAAAAGTTTCATAAGTTGCTAGAATATCAGATACAATGTTGTAGTAGTAGTGCAGCAAAATAATTAATTTTTCCATTCTTTTAAAAAGGCATATCATAGGGTGTGCAAGATGTTTTCCATATTCAGTGAACTATTTACGAGTGTGAATCCAAATTCAATGAGAGCCTGTCATCCAGGAGCTTCCTCTTCTCACTTCTTCTCATTCATTTTGTAGCATCAGTTAAATTGGTTTACCACGGCTATAACACAGCTCTCTACTTGTAGACAAGGATAAAGGGCTGACTGCACTCCAGCGATGTAATGGATAAACTAAGTTTAGTGAGGTCATGTTATAAATAAGCACATTCTATGTGAAACGCGTTAACTGTCCTCTGTTTGGAGCTGTGATGTTTATACTTGCTATGCCTTGAAAACTTCAATAAACTTTGTTTATCCATTATATCGTTGGAGTGCGTCAGCACTTTATCCTTGTCTTGAGAATCCCGCGATCATGGATCGGACCGGCACCCACTGGTGTGTGGAGAGGCTGCTTGCCTGGGGGCTCGATTGGAGCAGTGTCTTTCCTCATTTGTCTCTACTTACATGTAGAAATGTATCTAAGAAGGGGCATATGACCTCCTGCACTTTAAACCTGTTGTCAGGCTGCATGTACAATCTGTACATGCATGGACTTGCATGGTAAAAAAAAATAATGTATAATTCATTTTTTGTGGGGTATTTGCAGTTTATTTGATGCATAACTGACAGCAATATTCCTTATCTTAATACTACTGTCTGTTCTATAGCTAATAATTTAGCTGCAAAAATCCAGTAGTGGAATAATCAAGTAGTGTTTCAAATCTTCTTCAATTCACTTGTGCTGATATGAAATCACATGCAGACATGTAGTGGTAATTTAGCCGAATGCCATTAAATCTAAATATATTTGACTAAAGTTTTTACTTTTGAGATAGCAGAAGGAGTGCTGAGAACTTTGAGAAAGTTGGGCACACTGGAAAGAAAATAGAGCTGGCCATCTTATACTAGGATTTACAGGCACAAAAAGTGTATTTTTTTTTCAGTTCAGGACAAGTGTACATGATTAATTTCCCTTTTTGAAAGAATATTGTGTTGATAGTCAAGTTTTTACTAAATTTTGAAAACATCTTTGCAGAAAAATCATATGAATGGCCTGTGTCCCTGTAGCAGTCATCTTCAGTAAGGGCTGTTTCCATGGAAACAGGATCCTAATTGCAGTATGAACATTATTTGGACTATGGTGAAGCTGTGAATTCATTACTTTGTAGGTATGAAAATCTTCCTTATTGTACAATAGGATTATGTTTTGATGGATTTTCGTGCATCACCTAATGCCTTAAAATTGGTCAACTTTTTTTCATGGAGTTTATGTAGTTGTTAGATGATTGTGGGACAAATTCAGATTGCTTTTTAGTTGCTCTTCTTAGAAGAAAGGCACTACAGGTGAAACTCAAAAAATTAGAATATCGTGCAAAAGTTCATTTATTTCAGTAATGCAACTTAAAAGGTGAAACTAATATATGAGATAGACTCATTACAGGCAAAGCAAGATAGTTCAAGCCGTGATTTGTCATAATTGTGATGATTTTGGCTTATAGCTCATGAAAACCCCAAATCCACAATCTCAGAAAATTAGAATATTGTGAAAAGGTGCAATATTCTAGGCTCAAAGTGTCCCACTCTAATCAGCTAATTAGGCCATAACACCTGCAAAGGGTTCCTGAGCCTTTAAATGGTCTCTCAGTCTGGTTCAGTAGGAATCACAATCATGGGAAAGACTGCTGACCTGACAGTTGTGCAGAAAACCATCACCCTCCATAAGGAGGGAAAGCCTTTGGATTTTCCCCAGTCACCCACACTAGATTATTCTGTAAAGGGCCTACATGATTGGAGTGTTCTATTCCTGTAGGTGGCACTATAAACCTATGGTCAAGAATAGAAGAGCTGTGTCCATCAATGAACATAAGAGAAATCTTTATTTCCACTGTTACATTTCTGGTTGTCCACAGTCACAATGGTCCATCAATGAAAGGGATTTTACGATGCGTAATAAAAAATCCCGGTTTACATGTAACGCTTTAACAACGTTTTTCAGTAAACTGTAACCTCATAATATAAGAACACCTTTATGCCCAAAATACTATTTCATCATAAAGCAACAACCAAAAAAAGTAATAATTTTGCACAAGAAATATACATACACAGTGTAAAAGATTATTAGGAAATAATCAAACATAATACTTTGTGGTCTGAAACTATTATCCTGCATGTTTGGAATTTGGTATTTTATAATAAAGGGTCTTATCTAAAATACATAGTGACCTCTTATCTAACACTTCTTTTTCTGCTGTTATCTTCCTAAATTCTATGCTTGTGTTCAACACTTTCACAGCACAGAATTACGTGAATGATATTTACAGAAAACCAGTAAATAATTATAGCACTTTGGTTGTTTTTTTCTCTTGTTGTTTTTGACATTTTGGCTAAAGGATTATCAAAAAAGATTTCTGTCTGTGTGTACATTTTATATATTTTTTTTTTTGTAAATATGAAATTAGTTACACAGGGGTCCTTGATGTGGAATACGAAAATAGCTGCTGTGCCCTTTGTGACCTCTTTAATGAATAAGGCCCCATGTACACAGGACACTTCTGAACGATGGAAACTGCTGGAAAATGTAGGTTAAAAAAAGTCTCTTTAGCTGCGTTTGCATTACGCGTTTATGCACGTTTATGTGCGTTTGCATTTAGAAGCATTTTTTAAAGATAAATGCCCAAAATGCACTGAAAAGTGGTAAATTATTAACTATTTCAGACTGTTACAGAGAAATACAGAGAGTAGAAGCAGAGACAGAAGTAGGTGTTGAAATTAGCTTAGGTGTGAGTTGCTCATTAACATTTCTTTTGTTTCCAAGGGTGGGAAGGTGTCTGGTGGAGTGAGTCATTAAGGCCACCTGGCAGGGGGTCTTCATGAGGAATTTGAGGTGTGAATGGTCATTAATATATCTTTTGTTTCCAAGGGTGGGAGAGGTCTGAGGTGTGAATTGGTCATTACCATGTGTGACAAGCTTGGTAGGAACATCCTGTTTTCAGTGTTTTGTCCATCTGAGTACCTTGAAAACGCTTTGTATGCATTTTTTATGATGCAAAAAGACTCTGGACAGCATCGGGAACTGGAAGAGTTAAAAAAAAAATTTCAGACGCAAACGCTTATAAACACGATTTTGCTACATTTCCAAGCGTTTTGTGTTTGGCTACGTTCACACTATCATTGTGTGCAAGTGGCAGAGAGGCGTTTGGGAAGCGTTTTTACCACTTACCAAATGCCTCTGACAATTCTGCACATTACAGCACATGGTGCTGTTATAACGGGAGAGTTAGTGTCACACGGCAAAACGGACACCTCTGGTCGAGTCAGGAGGCGTTGAAGCCTCCTATTCTAGTCTATGGTGCTACTCCGCAAATGCCCGGCCGGCGCTTGCGGTGCGGTTGCGGGGCGTTTGCGGAGCGGTAACACCATTCAAACTTCATTCTAGGTGTTTGTGGGGCGTTTTTAACGCTCGGCGAACGCCTAGCAACCGCTGCTAAACCGCGCATGCGGCGTTTGCGGAGCATTAAAAAACGCTCTGCAAACGCCGGACCAATGCTTGCCAAACGCTATAGGGGCGTTTGGCAAGCGTTGGTAAAACAGTCAAGTGTGAACGAGCCCTTAGAAACGCTGATAAAATCGACTGCTGAACACAGCTCTATTTGGCACCTATGTGCTCGTGAAATAGCAGCTTGGCTGCTGTACAAGCGTGAGTGACCCTTGCTTTATTACA